CGCTCAGACGGTGCCGTTCTCAGCGCCGTCAAAATAAAAGTCTCGCCACGAACACATCGGCCAAACAGAATACTTATAGGCCGATATTTGAAAAATGCCAAATTTCGGCCGATATATCGGCCATATTTATGGTGTAAATATTGCATCAAAATCAAATCAATTTGAGCGCGATTTAATATACAAAGGTAAGAATGCCCATAAAAGTTAAAAATCAATTTAAATTGATTGGAAAAGCCTAATTTCTATCACTGTTGTGAACTGAACCGCACACAGAATATGAAGAATATCAAAAACTTTAGGAGTCAGCTGTCCACTATAGTCCTTAAGATATCAGCGCAATAACACTCTCAGCAAAATATCGTCTAATTATCTTTATTGATAAAATCACAGAAAATATTGAGATATTATTTTTTGTCAATATCGCACACCCCTAGTACTGACAAAATGATTTGCAACGGTCACTTTTGTAACGCCCAGTGTAGACAGCCTCAAACTGTTGGTGTATTTCTGTCTTTTTTTTTCTTCTTTTTTTTGGCTAGTAGAATTTATGAATGGCCGGTAACTTAAAAATTTAGTAGCCAAATTGGCTGGTGAGTGAAAAAGTTAATTTCAATCCCTGTATATATATAAGTGCTGTCAAACGATTAATGGCATCCAAAATAAAAGTTTTTGCTTACGTAATATATGTGTGTGTACTGTGTATATTTGTTATGTACATAAAAACACACACATACAGTATATATTTTGAAAATATTTACATGTATATATTTATATAATTTATATTATATATAAATATGTTTAATATAGAAATATAACATATTTTTCTTAAATATATACATGCATTTGTGTGTATTTATATACATAACAAATATACACAGTACACACACATATAATACATAAACAAAAACTTTTATTTTGGATGCCATTAATCGTTTGACAGCACTAATATATATATATATATATAATCATAAAATATGATTTATTCTGAAGCAATATTCTTATCAGTTGTCTATCAGCTGTGACATATAAATCTGCATGTTTTTTATATTTAATCCAAGGACATTTTTTACCTTTATAAGAGGGCATTTCCCCCCCTAACCTCATTAATACTACATCTTTCATTTCAAATTCTTACATTTAATCTATAAATTCAATTATAATAATGTGATTATTGTTATCTCTACGTTATCAAATTAAATCATTTACACTGTAAAAATACAACTGCATTATGAGACTGTTTTAAATATTTTTTTGAATATACAAAGAAGAAATGATGGTGAAAATTATACTTTTAAACTAAATTAAAACGGCAGTAGGTGCCAGTAGTGAACGTTTAATGAGTGAGTCACTGAGTTGTTCATTTAAGCGATTCCTTCAAACGGCAGATTCATCAGATGTTTATGCATGGGCAAATTCAACCGATTCGTTCAAAACACGGAATCAATCAGCAATGAATCGGCGGTTGCTGTAAGATGCGCTGTGGTTCCGCCTAAAATGTAAGTGACCTAATATTATTGTACTTGCTTATTTAACTGTTTATTGAACTATTAAACAGTCGTAATGGTGAAAACGTTGTGTGATGTTGCCTAACTAACTGTATTTTAAATATAAAAACTTTTCATTTAGATTTTTTACTTCAGCATGCTTACTCGTCTGGCGTTAATGTCGAGCTCAAACCCCGAACGGCCCCGGCCCAATTTAAACCCTGGTGATAACACTCGTTGCCTTCTCTAGTGCAGCTCAACCAGGTCTCGTCCCATTCGTCGATCTTTGTGATATCACAAATCCCGGAAAATATGCGTTGTAGTCCAAACGAGTCGTTCGTTGTAGTTTTTGAAAAGTGATTTCTGTTAAATAAAATATCTTCTTTTGAAGTGGACTTTGAGCTTTGTAACTTCGCAGATCTTTTTTTATGCTCAAACAGCAACATTACAGACTAACTAAAGTTGAAAAAGTGAAAAAGCATAATAGGACCCCTTTAAGAAGTCTTTTTGCAATGCAGAACTAAAGTGTATATCCTGTTATACACAATGCAACAGGACAGGAATTAATATGTTTTGTAAACTGTTGTTCAGTTCAATGACAGTGTGTTTCACTGTGTGTGTGTGTGTGTGTGTGTGTGTGTGTGTGTGTGTGTGTGTGTGTGAGAGTGCGTGCGTAATGACATGGGTATGACATAGGTATTACAAGGAGAAGGTGGCTTATGAGGACATTACCCCATGTCCCCATTTTTCAAAACGCTTATGAATCATACAGAGTGAGTTTTTTTTTGAGAACGTAAAAATGCACAAAGTTTCCTATAAGGGGTAGGTTTTGGTGTAGGTTTGGTGTAGGGCAATAGCACATACAGTTTGTACAGTATAAAAACCATTACGCCTATGGAGAGTCCCCATAAAA